GAATCATATCCATTTTCATTTTCAATTATGGAAGTCATTTTTAAATTTGGAATTTTCACTGTTTCATCATTACTTTTTGTCAGAACTTTAGTTTTGTTTTGACTCCCTAGTCATGCATTGTGATGTTTTTGAGTTCTCCCTTTTTTTTCTACATATTCTTCTCTCTTTTCCCCATCTGAACTTGATTCACATTCTCTGGCCCATGCTTCACATTCTCTCGCCCAATGTCCTTTCTTTTTGCATATGTAACAATAATCATTGCTTTTGTCCAACTTTCTCTCTCTCCTAGTCTTCATCTGCCCCCTCCCTCTGCTTTGACCTCTGCCTCCATTCTGCTCCCTCCTTGCTGATTGGCCCTGTGCTCTCTGGAAACACAAGTCTCCCAAATCTTGCAAGAAAGAATCCACTGATCTGGCTTGCTCTTCTCTCTTTTTATTTCTAGCAACCACTTCAGCATGAATAGCATGTGTTATGAAATCAGACAGCGTCGCAGTAGGCAATCCAACAAAATTTCTCTTTATCCATTCAGAGACTTCTGGTCTTAAATTAGCCAACATCCCTTGTTTAAACTGTTGATCCCAAATTACACGTTCCGCTGCATTATTGTCTCTCAACCCACTGTGTTTTCTAAAGGCTGTTTCAAACCGCACTCTAAAATCTACTACTGTCTCATCCTCCATTTGTCTTACCTGAGCTAACTTCCCATAGTCAGGTAAAGTTTTGAACATTTCTCTGATTTGATTATGTAGAGTATTGAATCTATCATTAATGAGTGGGTCTGCTGCAGGAAGAAGCACAGGTGGGTTTGCATTATCATTTGGGTTATAGTGCTGTCTGCATCTCGTCCAATCAACTCCCATTTTCGTCATGTAAATGTCCCTAATTTCAATTCCGTTAAGCCTATACATGTCCACCAGTTGTCTCATACCATCGCAAAATCCATCTGGGTCTTCTCTATGGCTTGGGACACTTTCTGTGGCTTTAATTATGTCTGCTTTCGTCCAAGTACGAAAGACATACATAGTAGGCAAACTTCCAACCACTTGTGGATCATGAGTGGGATTTGGGACTTCTATCATTAGGAATGCATCTGCACCTCTCTCTGAGAAGTCAACCCTTGGACTGAAAAGGTTCCCAAAACTTTTGCTCCACGACGCGTTCATTGGATGCCGTAATCTAGTAGCAACAGGTGTTTGTACATCACAGACTTGTGGCTGTGCTGCTGCTTCTGGCTCTGCATGTGGATACAAACTATCCTGCAGTTTTACAGAATTATCTGGGAATAGATTTGTTGTCTGTTGCAGTGGAGTATATTGAGGTGGTGCCGCTGTGTATTTATGAGCCTGTACTACAGCCTGCTGTTGCTGCTGCTGCTGCTGCTGCTGCTGCTGTTGCTGCTGCTGCTGCTGCTGCTGCTGCTGCTGCTGCTGCTGCTGCTGCTGCTGCTGCTGCTGCTGCTGCTGCTGTTGCTGCTGCTGCTGCTGCTGCTGCACATGGCGCCTCCCTGCCTGGACCAAATTGTCTTCTTCTGTTGTAAAGGCAACTAGGCTCGTTTCACTCTTCTTCTCTTTAATTTGCTTATCTCTACACTTTGCTGCAACTAACCACAGCTCTGCCATTTTCTGCTCATGCAATTGTTTTTCTGATGGCAACTTTTTGGATTTAAGTCCTAAACTAACTTTCATCACCAGTGTTTCACACTCTTTTAGTGTTAGTTTACCTTCAAACCCATACTTCTTCTTCCAGTTTTTTAAATACTTAACTGATTCAGAATTTTTTCTCTGCATAAACTTAGGATCTCCTTTTAGATCCCCCGTTTTAGTACAAGATGAACCCATATTTACTCTTTAGTAAATTACTTAAATATCTTCAACTTCTATTTAATAACTATTGCTTATACAACAGTGGATATTAATTACACATTTGTAAACGATCTTAGTGGAATGCCTCACGGGCCAAATCACTTCCTCGAGAAACAAGCTTCTAGATAAAACTTAATGTTTCATCCGGTTTCTCCTGGGTGTTTAATCACAAGGAATGTAATTGTTTTAGACCACTTTCACGATTACTTAAAACATAATGAGATGCAATCCTTTCTCTACTTCACCAAGCCGACAACTTTTCGTTATCACCGCAAGGTTTCTGGTTGTCCGGTGCTTCAAGTGTAGATTGACCTCCTTTCACACACACATTCACACAGACGTCTTTAATTCAAAATGAACCCCGTTCACTTTTAACTGCAGTAAAAAGTAGTCCCCGACTTACTCTTAATAATAGCCCCGTTATTATTACAGTCTATGATAGTTCCAGACTATCTAAAAGAATAACCTGTTGTTATTCCGGGCCCCCCCTTGACTGTCTTTAATAGCTCCCCGACTATTAGAAGGATAAACCCCGTTATCCTAGGCCTAAGAAATAGCTCCTCGACTATTAAAAGGATAAGCCTCGTTATCCCCGGCCTCTTTTTTGAGTCTCCGACTTCAAAAGTAAATTCACACTTGCCTGTTATCGCGATGTCCGTGGCTTTTGTGTCTTCAATCCGAAATTTGAAGCTGATCAAACCCCACAAAGAGACTGTTGCTGCAGTTGTTTTTCGACCTGCAACCTCCAAGCCACGCTGCTGTTTCAGATCTCCAGTACTGTAGGACGACGGTCAGCTCCAAAAAAATGATGTTTTGACATACGGCTCAAGAAGGACCAAAATATGTTAACGCTGGTTCAGCCACGGTTTCTCCTTCGATGAAAAATGGACACTACAAATTCTGCTTAGATATATAAAAAAAAGGTTTAATATATAAAAGACAGAATACAGGTTACAGGATACAGACAAATGGCAGACTGGTTGCTCCAATCTGGGTCCTCTCCCTGGCAAGCCAAAAGCAAAAGACCCTGCTTCAGGAACAGGCTATCGATGATAAGCACACAGTCACATGACCATGATAATTGAAGACATGTGTTTCAACATCCTTAGGTGAAGACAATACCTTCTCTGTTTCAGGACAAACAAATAGCCCCTGTGTGAGTAGCTGGAGGCTACTCTAAACAGATGTTCTCTGCGTTCTTGCTTTAATTTAACTTCCTGTGTTTAATAGCTGGGGGATGGCTTCACACATTCTTCACTCTGCAGACTAGCTACTAGTTTTTAGATTTACACTAGACTAAACGTTACATTTATTAATATGATAATAACACAATAACATACTCCATTGACAGAATCTTAATACCATAGTTCTCCTCTGTATCCAAGCTGGAACCTCATCTGAAAATAAAACATTGTCAAACGAAGTTGGGCGGCCCAGAAAGTCCTCTGCGTTCATACGGCAGATGTACAAGAGAGAGGCGCAGTCGAGGGCGTCTGTTGTTCCAGATGAAACGTACAAAAGTCTTTGTGACGAAGGTTTCTTTGTCCCCTTTAATGCCAATGTGCTTGAATTGGGGGAGGTAGTCTTTCCGACTGATTTAATAGAAGCAACTGAGATTTTGTAGTATTTATTTTATAACCTGAGAAAGGGCCAAACAAATCTAATAGTTTATTGAGAGATTTAATGGAACTGTCCAAGTTTGACCAAAACAACATGACATCATCTGCATAAAGGGATAAGTGTTCCGTGTGTCCAACAGTGGTGCCTCTGATGTCTGGGATCGTCTTTTTGCTGATGCCAGTGGTTCAATGGCAAACAAAGTAAAGGTGACAAAGGACATCCTTGGGGCGTAGATCTGCCAAGACTGAAGGGTTTTGAAATGTGATTCTTGGTTAATACTAGAGACATTGGGTCTGAGTAAAGCAGCTTGATCCACTTGAGAAGGTTTTTACCAAATCCAAACCTCTCCAAAACTTCAAAGAAGTCCCTTCCATCCTGTCCAAGGCCTTTGGGCGTCACAGGATTGAATCATCTTCTGTTTGACAGAGTATATTTAGTAGTCGGCGAGTTTTATGAAAAGCTTGTCGCTCCAGAACAAAACCACATTGGTCGGTGTCTCTATTCTTTTGGATAATACTTAATACAAAACATTATTGTATCACAAGACATTAAAGAAATAGATCGGTATGAGGTTGGATCAAGAGGAGATTTTCCTGGCTTTGGTAGGACGGGGATTATTGCACATCTTAAAGATTGTGGCAATACGCCCCTTTCATTTGACTCATTAAACATGTCAAGGAGGGGTTGTGCTGATTTTGTTGAATATTTTTTATACAATTCTATTGGTATCTATTGGTATAGAATTCTATTGGTATCTATTGGTATACAATTCTATTGGTATGCCGTCAGTTCCCAGGACTTTCCCATTCCTGTATTGTATTGCTTCCAGAAGTATTGGAAGCAATACAAAGCATGAACAAATCATGCTTTGTATTGCTTCCAATACTTCTGCTATGGTTATTTCTTTATCTATTTGATCCTTGTTTCGTTCTGACAAGGTCGGCATAATCAAATGATCAAGGAATAGCATTTGATCAATATCATTATTTGTGTATTCTGATGTTGTTACGGCCCTGTAAAGTGCTCTGTGTGCGTCTCAACCCCTCCTGTCTGAAGATCCCTGGCCTCTCATTGGACAACCACCAGCCCTCCCACCTCCCAGAAGTCCGTGACTTCTGGATCCGTTGCATGGTTACCATTGTCTAGATTCATTTCATTTATAGCTCGATCTGCCGTTCCCGTAGTCTCCATGCCAGAAGTTTGCCTGGTTTCTCCCTTGATCGTAGCAGGATTGCTTTAGTTGTAGTAACTGTGAGGATATTTTCCCAGTGGTCAGTTCAATGTATTGTGACTTTAGATTATGTAGTTCACACTCTTTATCTTTGTTTTCATTTTGAAAAATTAAATCATTTTTATTATAATTAAAACTTAAAACTGCTGAGACCCCGAACACCACACAGGGTTAAGGTCCGAGACCTTCTGCTGCGTGACATCAGCGCACTGGCCACGATGACGCCTGATGTCCCGGTGGGGGGAGTCCCGAGGGTCCAGAAGGCTCCACTGCCACCGGCATGCTCGTTAACCTGTGCTGTCCTTCAGTGGGGCACCTCCTTCTCCTCGGCCCCAGGCCTGGTGCCTCCTCATCTCCTCCTCCAGCTGAGCCTCATACCTCTGCACCTCCTCCTTCTCCTTCTGCCGGAGCTCCTGCTGCTCCTGGATCTTCCGGAGGGCGTCTCTGTAGCTCTGCTCCTGTCCAAGGGGAGGAGGCACTCAGAGGAGGTCAAGTCAGGACTCCTCTTTCTCTGTTTCTTCTCTGCAATCTGGTCCTGGAGGTCTCTCCTGTATTGCTCCTTTTTTCTCAGCACCTCCTCCGTGAGAGTGGCTCCAATGTTGAGGCCAGTGCAGACCTCCTCTGTGGTCCTCCTCACTGCTGCTTTAGAGCGACCGAACAGCACCTCCCTCCTGCTGGCCTCTGTTAGTGTGGACGCAGAGGCACCAGCGCAGACATCTTGTTGTCTAGAGCCGAGAAATCTAAACACCTGTGAACAGCCTTACCAGCTCTTTTTGACCTGTAGTCGATGTTCATGTTGTTAGGGAAAATATTACCAAAAAGAAAAACCCATAATGATTAACACACTTTGCATATTAACGCACCTACTTGTAAGCAAACTTATTGCGGCGATCACGTGACCATGTCCGTCCCCTATTCCCCACTGGGGTCTTTACCTAACTCAACGCTTCAGTTTCTGACCCCACTCCGAAGTGGAGGAGTGCACACGCCTGGCCTCCAAGGTGCTCCAGGGGCCTCTGTCAAGGCCTGGGCTCTGGCCCAGCTCCGGCTTTCCCCAGGCCTGTGCCAAATCCGGTAGGCTACTCCCTTGGCGCTGCTCTCGCCACCCTGACTCCCACTAGGCCCTATCTGAACACTCAAATGTCTCCCCACGCCTCAGGTCTAAAATTCTGCTGGGGCGCTATATTAACTCTCTTATTCTCCTCTCTCCCAAAAGCTATGGAAAAGTGGTGGTTTCTGATCAATTTGCCGTAGTCGTCAGATTCTCAGACCCCGCTGGTCTCGTGAGCTGTCTGTTGGTGAGGTCCTCGTTGCTTTCGCCGTACACCGCAACATTATCTGCTCTGCTTATCCCGAGCCCAGACCCCAGCTGGTCACTTATGTGAGCGTTACCGCTATCACAAGACCTTCACGGCTAAGGCAGCGGCCATACTCTCACAGGCCGATTGTACCCAGAGGTGCTGCTTCTGTCCTGATCCTTTCCCCACACATTCACCCACACCACGAGCAAACGCACCCTGCCTCAACAAATATATGTACGTAATGAAAAGCGTCATGTGGTGATCGTAACATGAGGGACTCAGAGATCCCCAGACCTACTTAGTAACGCTGTCCATGGAAACCTGCAGGACAAGTACAATAAAAACCAAAATTACATTATCTAAGATAAAAGCAAATGTTTAGAAGCAAATGTCTCGACGGGAGACTTTGTCAGAAACGTGATGGTGTGACGTGTCTCTGATCGGCGGTGGTAAGATTGTGCCAGAGAATGATCATCAACAGAGAGGCCTTCACCGTGGCTCACAGTCGGGACTCACTTCTCCAGAGGCCGCAGAGGGGCGTGGTCAGTCTGACGAATTGGTTAGATCTGTCAGACTGACCACATCGAGCAACAGCTGATCAGAGACTGTCTCAAACGTGTGGTGATTTATCAGAACTAGCTTCTTTACACTTCTGACCTACTAAGAACCTTTATTGATAATTTATTTTGCCTAATGTGGATAAATAGTGACATCAGCAGTGTCTAACAAGCATTTTGATGATCCATTAGTGGATTGAAAGCTCAAAGTGTTTCCCTGGAGAACATCTTCACAGAGAGGATTTGTAAACACATGTTATTTGTCATTATCGAATAAGTCATGAGTCATAAAACATCTCTGAGCCTGTTTAAGTGTTTGAATAAGGTTCAACAAATGAAATGTATCAAAATCAGAATCAATTTATTTGCCATTTGCAGAAAAAAACTACATTGGAATACAAACAGGAGACACCGGGGGCAGCAACACAACAAAGCACACACACAGAATTAAAATAGCGAGCCACAGTGAGGCACATATAAAACTCTTAAACGCATCATTAAGACGCTACGAAGGAGCTACAAGAGAAGCAGGTCTCAGGACGCTCTGTTCAGTCTTGATATTGAAGCGTTTACAGCAAGAAACAGAGCAGCTGCAACATTGAAATCTCCGGCTGTGGGAGGTTTCTCCTCTGATTACAGAATGTGTTCACAACAATGTGTTACAAAAAAGCCCTGGTTCTGGACTGGTCCTGGACTGGTTCTAGACTGATCCTGGACTGATCCTGGACTGATCCTGGACTGGTTCTAGACTGGTTTTGGAGTGATTCTGGACCGGCCCTAGACTGGTCCTAGACTGGTTCAGAGTTATCACAGCTTGGAGCAAGTGCTAGTTACCATAGCAACACACTGTTTACTTGCATCAGTTAGCATTTAGCTTGTGTTTCATGTGAATCCGCCTTAGCGCCACTGGAGGATCTCCTGTGCATGTTTGGACACACCAACATCTCCACAAACATAACTTTACCTTTACGTTGTTCTCGTTCCACAATCGTCTCCTTGAGCAGCACGGTGGTGCAGTGGTTAGCACTTCTCAGCAAGATGGTCCTAGGTTCGATTCCACCTCTAAAACTTTCGGTGTGGAGTTTGCATGCTCTCCCTGTGCCTGTGTAGATTTCCTCCAGGTGCTCCGGTTTCCTCTACCACTAAAAACATGTACTATAGGTCTGGAGTGCGTTTCCTTTGTGGCGACCTCGCTCCCATGAGTGGAGTCAGAGACAAACGACCACAACAGGCTCTTGGTGCGATACAAATAAATATGACCTACTCACTCCTCCTGCTCGTTGCTATGGAGATGCAGTTTATCACACCAGATGTAAACATCGATGGTATGACTGGTATAGTTTTATGCTTCCATTGAACCAAACTGTATGTTTTCTACAGAAATAAGTTGTTCCATTAGTTGAAGATGTTGATGGTCATGTTTCTGCTCTGAGGGCTTCAGTGGACATTATTATTTATTATTATGTATAATATTTATTATTGAAAACAGCCCCAGATTAACCTAAATGTGCATGTATTTTGTCAAGACACATGTGATATTCAGTGTATCATTAAATGTCAATGTAAAACAAAAAAGTAACGATGAATGCTCAAAACTTGCCGAGGACCAAACAATGGAGCAGACTGAAAATGGAAAGTATAGATACATTGTAAAAACCACAGTAGCAAAGGATTATTGATGTTTTAACTATAATGTTCTAATTCAATGTATGTTCAGCTTTCTTATTTAAACTCCAGGACCCAGAGGGACTATATCTCTCAGCTGGCCTGGGAACGCCTCGGGGTCGGACGAGCTGGAGGAAGTGTGTGAGAGGGAAGTCTGGGCGTCTCTGCTCAGACTGCTGCCCCCGCGACCCGGCAACGGATGAAGCGGAAGTAAATGGATGTAGAAAATAGTTATTTATAAAGAAGTGCTTTTGCTCTGTGGATTATTGTCTCTATGGACAGGTGCTTTTGCTCTGTGGATTATTGTCTCTATGGACATGTGCTTTTGCTCTGTGGATTATTGTCTCTGTGGACAGGTGCTTTTGCTCTGTGGATTATTGTCTCTGTGGACAGGTGCTTTTGCTCTGTGGATTATTGTCTCTATGGACAGGTGCTTTTGCTCTGTGGATTATTGTCTCTGTGGACAGGTGCTTTTGCTCTGTGGATTGTTGTCTCTGTGGACAGGTGCTTTTGCTCTGTGGATTATTGTCTCTATGGACATGTGCTTTTGCTCTGTGGATTATTGTCTCTATGGACATGTGCTTTTGCTCTGTGGATTATTGTCTCTGTGGACAGGTGCTTTTGCTCTGTGGATTATTGTCTCTGTGGACAGGTGCTTTTGCTCTGTGGATTATTGTCTCTATGGACAGGTGCTTTTACTCTGTGGATTATTGTCTCTATGGACAGGTGCCTTTGCTCTGTGGATTATTGTCACTATGGACAGGTGCTTTTGCTCTGTGGATTATTGTCTCTATGGACAGGTGCTTTTGCTCTGTGGATTATTGTCTCTATGGACAGGTGCCTTTGCTCTGTGGATTATTGTCTCTATGGACAGGTGCCTTTGCTCTGTGGATTATTGTCACTATGGACAGGTGCTTTTGCTCTGTGGATTATTGTCACTATGGACAGGTGCCTTTGCTCTGTGGATTATTGTCTCTATGGACAGGTGCTTTTGCTCTGTGGATTATTGTCTCTATGGACAGGTGCCTTTGCTCTGTGGATTATTGTCTCTATGGACAGGTGCCTTTGCTCTGTGGATTATTGTCTCTATGGACAGGTGCCTTTGCTCTGTGGATTATTGTCTCTATGGACAGGTGCCTTTGCTCTGTGGATTATTGTCTCTATGGACAGGTGCTTTTGCTCTGTGGATTATTGTCTCTATGGACAGGTGCTTTTGCTCTGTGGATTATTGTCTCTATGGACAGGTGCTTTTGCTCTGTGGATTATTGTCTCTATGGACAGGTGCTTTTGCTCTGTGGATTATTGTCTCTATGGACAGGTGCTTTTACTCTGTGGATTATTGTCTCTATGGACAGGTGCCTTTGCTCTGTGGATTATTGTCACTATGGACAGGTGCTTTTGCTCTGTGGATTATTGTCTCTATGGACAGGTGCTTTTGCTCTGTGGATTATTGTCTCTATGGACAGGTGCCTTTGCTCTGTGGATTATTGTCTCTATGGACAGGTGCCTTTGCTCTGTGGATTATTGTCTCTATGGACAGGTGCCTTTGCTCTGTGGATTATTGTCTCTATGGACAGGTGCCTTTGCTCTGTGGATTATTGTCTCTATGGACAGGTGCTTTTACTCTGTGGATTATTGTCTCTATGGACAGGTGCCTTTGCTCTGTGGATTATTGTCTCTATGGACAGGTGCTTTTACTCTGTGGATTATTGTCTCTATGGACATGTGCTTTTGCTCTGTGGATTATTGTCTCTATGGACATGTGCTTTTGCTCTGTGGATTATTGTCTCTGTGGACAGGTGCTTTTGCTCTGTGGATTATTGTCTCTGTGGACAGGTGCTTTTGCTCTGTGGATTATTGTCTCTATGGACATGTGCTTTTGCTCTGTGGATTATTGTCTCTATGGACATGTGCTTTTGCTCTGTGGATTATTGTCTCTGTGGACAGGTGCCTTTGCTCTGTGGATTATTGTCTCTATGGACAGGTGCCTTTGCTCTGTGGATTATTGTCTCTATGGACAGGTGCCTTTGCTCTGTGGATTATTGTCTCTATGGACAGGTGCCTTTGCTCTGTGGATTATTGTCACTATGGACAGGTGCCTTTGCTCTGTGGATTAATGTCTCTATGGACAGGTGCCTTTGCTCTGTGGATTATTGTCTCTATGGACAGGTGCCTTTGCTCTGTGGATTATTGTCTCTATGGACAGGTGCCTTTGCTCTGTGGATTATTGTCTCTATGGACAGGTGCTTTTGCTCTGTGGATTATTGTCTCT